TTGAATCATTAATTATAACTTTAGCCCTGTTTTCCAAATATATTTGTTCTATTATATGTTGGAACCCCTCTCCAAAACCATATTTTTTTAATTAATGATTTCAGCACTGTCCAACCCACTGAGTCAAAGGCATATATATATATATATAGCACAGATTTAAAAAGTATGAAGGGAGATTGGATATATCAAGGATAGTAATGGCATTGTATGTGCCAGAATGGCAGATAAAATTAAAGTGATACAGGATTTATACTCTAATATGTACAGAAATACAGAAGTGGATATAGTTGAGCTGGACAAATATCTGGAACAAAATTTAGGTAAGAAATTAAGTGAGACACACAGTAAAGAAATGGAGAAATTATATCACAAGAGGAAATTAAAGACACAATACACAAATTAAGGAAGGGTAAATCACCGGGTGAAGATGGTATTTCAACTGAAATTTATAAAATGTATATAGAATTCCTAGTACCCAAATTACAGAGACTGCTCAATGAAATATTAAGGGGAAACACATATCAAATTCATGGAAACATACTAGGATAATCCTAATACCTAAACCGGGCAAAGATAAATTATTATTAGACTCTTATCGCCCTATTTCTTTAATTAATCAAGATGCATTTTTACGGCAATTTTGGCAAATAGATTTAAAAAATTCATAGAGGATTATATTAGCCCAGACCAATGTGGGTTTGTTAAGGGCAGGCAAATGTCTGACTTGGTCCGCAGACTGATAAACATTACAGAGAATGCAAAAATTGAGAAAGCTCAAGTAGGCATTATTGCACCAAGTCAGACATTTGCCTGCCCTTAACAAACCCATTATCCTAGTATGTTTCCATGAATTTGATATGTGTTTCCCCTTAATATTTCATTGAGCAGTCTCTGTAATTTGGGTACTAGGAATTCTATATACATTTTATAAATTTCAGTTGAAATACCATCTTCACCCGGTGATTTACCCTTCCTTAATTTGTGTATTGTGTCTTTAATTTCCTCTTGTGATATAATTTCTCCATTTCTTTACTGTGTGTCTCACTTAATTTCTTACCTAAATTTTGTTCCAGATATTTGTCCAGCTCAACTATATCCACTTCTGTATTTCTGTACATATTAGAGTATAAATCCTGTATCACTTTAATTTTATCTGCCATTCTGGCACATACAATGCCATTACTATCCTTGATATATCCAATCTCCCTTCATACTTTTTAAATCTGTGCTATTTTTGCCAGCAGTTTTGAGCTTTTATTGTTATATTCAAAAAAAATCTGTTTGTATACTGTGTAGAAGTCATTGATACTATGTATGTGTTTAACTGTTAGAGTATATATTTGTGTTTGTAACAGTAGCTAAAACTAGAGTTATCTGGTTTGAATCCACAGTGAGCGTTGCAAAGGAGACCAGGCAGGCTATCTCAGGAGAGTGAGAAGTGGGAGGAGCCAAGCAGAAAAAGTTATGTGCGTCTTTGGAAAAAGGGGCAGTGTGTGAGAGTGTGGAGGCTTGAAAAGCCTGGGAGAGACGTGTGTGTGAGCAGCTGGAGGTTTTTCAGTCTAGAAGGGCTGAAGAGAAAAACCTGGCCAGTTTCTTTAGTCAAGGAAGACTAAAGGAAGCTTGTTAAGATCCCTAGTCAAGGAAGGACTAGAGATCAGAGATTTGATCAAGGAAAGATCAAATTGGAAGGCTATTCATAGTAGGAAACATTGTTCACTAAAGAGCTTCACCTTAGTAAAAGTTAGCCACGAGCTGTGTTATTTGCAAGAGTGGACTGTATGACAAACCAAGTGATATTCAAAGTTCTATAAGTTATTTAACAGCCTGCAACCATACGCTTTGTACACAATAAACTTGTTATCTTTTGTTGAAGACCGTCTCATCTCAATTAATCTGCGTCTGTAAAGCCAGATCTCATCGGTGGTACCTCAAATACCTCACGTTGGTGGCAGTTACCTTAATTTACAAGTAATAATGGGTCTCCTCTATAATATATTCTGATACACAATTGAGGCCTGAGATTAATTCCCTCCATAATGATCCACACCTGTATAATTGGTTCGCGCATAACTGTACATATACATTATATCTTTTTTTTAACTTTTTCTATATCTTTAGCCTCCAACTCTTTCTTTAGTCTTAAAGACATTGTCACAATTCACAAGCTAGGTTGCATGACATGTCAGAGATGTAGCTCTAACACTACAAATCTTAACCTCAAATGCATAATATAGATATGTCTCAGCTGATACATCTGTACTTTGCCCTTTAAAAGCAAGGGGCACATCTTATTTCCTGGATTTGTGCTATTAATTCCTGCAATGATCAACACTTTCAGTAATCGACTAAAGTGATGCACATTTTCCTTATTCTAAAGCATGACTCTGCATATTTTTCAGATGTGTTCATTTTTAATCATGTAGTTATTTTAAATGCACACATGGTTTTGTTACATGCATTACATTCTTCTTAAATCAAACTGCAAGCCTTTGAAAGCTACAGGTCTCTGTGGAAATGCCAAATTAATATTTTTGTCAGAAAATGCAAATCCAAATTAGGTCTTCCATCACTACGTATAAACTAAAGATTGCTTATTTACTTTTAGTAATGATCATTTTTGTAACTATAATCATATCACCTGTTTAGATGGTTAATATTAGGTTTGTGCCTGAATCAGTTTGAATGAAAAAGATTTTCCGTACTCAGTGGGGTGTTTTATATAATCTCAAAAAACAGACCAGGGAGGAGGGAACTGAAAAGCTCGGCAAAACGGATTAAGGGAGACAGATTTTATCAGCTACTGGAGAGGAATTAAGTTTGCAATATACCCGAGGGAGGGGTTGCTATAGGGTCCCTGGAGAAGATGAGATTATTACATTTTTTTTCTCCCTCCCCCAGCAGCAGAAAAGTCCTCTATTTCTTTTTGGAAAGTTTTCTAGGCTCATCCTCCAGAGAGGACCCTGCTGGGAACTTTCTCAGCAACACTTGCACAGGGCATGAATTGAAAAGTTCCTCTTGAAACATGATGGAAGTTTAAGTTTTCCTCTCTTTGTGTTTCTCAGCCAATAAAAAGCCTGGTTGTGTGCATGCTCTGATTGGTTGAGAATGGACACAACTGGCAACTACAATTCCCAGAATCTTCTCCTGCTATTTGTCTTATTTTAAAATATATATTATGGTTAAAACTTAAAATAATTCTTTAAAAAATCAGTAGATGGGTGAAATGTTTTGAAACTCAGGAGGCCTGTAGTAGTAAATGAGGCCTAAAACTGAGGTAGATTTCATGCAGATAGGCCTTAAAATGTCTGAGAATTAAGCCTTTACAATTTCCATTGTAGCCAATGGGTTGACTCTACCAAATGAAAATAGCAACAATCCCTCCCCTTTCGTGTAACTTCCCATTAAACAGAATAAGGTGTCAGCCAACAATGGCCCCTGAGACAGGATGCCTTTTGGCCAAATAGCACACTCCTAGTTAGTATATCCCCAAGTGCCCCACGTGGTCTGTCTGATGCTCAATCTAGGCCAAAAATATGAATAAGAATGATCTACTGTCAGGATATTAGATGACTTATCAAGTAGTCTGAGAGAGATAACTTAGATATTCTTGGCATTTAAATGTTTGCCCCACCTTGCTAGAATACCTGTATTATATGTATCCATTTTTTCATAGTACTGGCTCACTTAGCTACATTTTCTTGTATTATCTAAAGTTGGAAATCTCTAATGCTTTTTTGTGAAAATGTGTGAATTCTTTGTTGTATTTTTTAAAAAAGATGGGCTATATATAACACATATTTAGGGTCCCCAAATTAAGACCCGCAGGTGAGATGCATTCCTCCAAGGTCTCCATCTTAAATTTTAGAGTGAGGGTTGCCCTAATTCTGAAATGACTTGAAGGCACTCAACAACAACAATCCTAATTACCTTGACTATATCATCAGTCAAAAGCAGGTCCACACTTCCCACTGAAATATTGGTAAATGTATGTTAGTTAAAATTGTTCTTCATTTTAAATATTGTAGTGTTCTTTCATTATTTTTGCACTACAAATAAGATATGTGCAGTGTTCATAGGAATTCATTCATGTTTTTTTCAAATGATAGTCATCTCCCCCCCCCCCCAACAGTCTAAGGGACCGTGAACTGCCCCTCTGCTTAAAACCTTTGAGGACTCCTGACATGTGTACTCATCTATGTCAATGGTCAACTTTATGGATTTTGTATGATAAAACAAAGGTCATTCTGCAGAGAGGTTAATGTAGCAGCTCCTGGCCATCACTACTGCTGTTTTTCCACTTAGAAAAAGAGCAGAAGTGATGCCCTGGTGGAGAAAGTCGATATGGAAATTAACACTTACATTGACCAATAGATAATTTGACCTAGTTTTCTGTGCTGATTCTTTGACTGAAATTTCTAGACTTTTACACGGGTATATACAGCAGTCTTCAATAGATTTCCAAGAACTTAAACATTTATCCCAGAAACACTATTTATAGTGTTACATTTTAAAAACAAATTCAAGGGTGTATATATATATATATATATATATATATATATATATATATATAGTAGTACTATTTTCCAGAACTTAGATTCATGACAAACCATTGACATCAATCACATGTAGTTATTTTAGGCCCCTTCTATACTGCCATATAATCCACATCATCAAAGCAGATAATCCACATTATATGCTGTGAACTGTATTATAAAAGTCTACATTGTCATATAATCCAGTTCAAAGCAGATAAGCTGGATTTTATATGGCACTGTAGAAGGGACTGTAGTCAGAAAATAGGGGTTATACTATTTCAATAAAAAAATGTGCTTGTATCTGGAATATTGTGGATATTAGTCAAATAGAATTATTGTGATACTGAAAACTGAATTTCTTTTAAGTGACAGCACTTGCACAGTACTTTGGATGTTTCTTTTATGCAAATGTTACAGACGACTAAGCAAAGACCATTAAGTTGAGTTTCATTGATTTTCTTCTAGGGTTTCGGTAGTCCTTCTGGTGAATATTGGCTGGGGAATGAGTTTATCTTTGCAATAACCACCAGTCAAAGACACTATTCTCTAAGAATTGAACTAACAGACTGGGAAGGAAGTCGGGCTTATTCACAATATGATAGATTTTATATAGGAAGTGAAAAACAGAATTACAGGTAAGTCCTGATATTTTATCTCCAGTTGTTCTTGTTTTGTGCATGTAGTTTGACATTTACTTAATTGTGTGACTAAATATCTCCAAAGTAGATGCTGTAAGGCTATATTTTAGAGGAAGGTATGTCCAAAAGCACCTCTTAATATTTCTTACCTAAGAAAACCCAATGAAATCATCAGGTTACCAGAAGTCAACTTCTGGGACCCATCCAGACAGGTCCAAAAAGTGGGACCTGTCTCAGTTTTTACTGGAGGCATCTAAATGATGCCTCCAGTAAAAAAAATTGGAACAAATCAAGCTTTTCTTTATTTGTTCCAAATTAATTAAGTACCCCATTAGATCCAGGCCTTCCTGAAAGGCCCAGGTTTAATGGAGTATTGTTCCTGTGGAGACTCACCCCAGGACTGCTTCTGAAGCCCTGGGGATGAGTCCCCACAGCTATTTTGCTTCTTCTGGCTTTGAAAAGCCCAGAGGAATGGGATGATGTCTATCCCAACTTGAGTTGATACATTGAACAAGCAGGAGCTTAGGTCAACATTTATTCACTTCCTATTCATTTGGAGCTATAAACTAAAAGTTTGATATAGTCAAGAAAAAGATACCAAAGTCCACTATCCCTAACCTTGTTAGTCATGACTAAGTCTGGGATGTAAATTCTGGGAAAGATGCCATAACTCAGTATTTGGCATATAAAAGTGGTGTTCTTGGGGAATCACTTTCAGTGCAAGAGCTGAATTGAACTCAGATAAATTTCAGGATTCAAATTCCACTAGTGGTCACATCAGGGGGCAATAAAGATGGGACCAAGAGGGTCACATATGTCATTTTTTGCCTTTTACTGACAGTAAGAAGCAATAATATGTTTAAATATTTAAATGCTTATATATTTTGTGATGGGGGGATGAAAGTTGTAGGCTGGATCTACATTGCCCTATATTCCAGGATCTGATTCCAGATTATATGATTTGAACTTAATTATATGAGTCTATACTGCCAGATAATTTGGGATAAGCAGATCAGGGATCAGATCCTGGGATATAGGGCAGTGTAGATCCAGCCATAGTAGTCGGGGACCTAAAAAGGTTTGGAAGCTGATGCTCCCCATACTCTTTCAAATGTATTGCTGCCACAGTAACCTCATTTGAATAAACTCTTGTTAATTCTTGTTAAGTATGTATAGGACTCTCTTTTCTTGCCTCTTAAGCTCTTCTTTTCTACTAGTAATAATGACTAAATACTAGCCATGGTAGTACTAATTATTATTAAAAGCAACTTGTCATTATATTATTTCAGTCTTTACTCTCCATCTCCTAAATCAGGGATGGGATTAAAGATGACAAGAAAACTGCAATTACAGGTGTTTGTGGTATGTCAAAATTGTGTGGTTCTCTAGATCTTGGGTTGCAGTTCTCATTGCTTTCAGTCACACAATTTGGCAGTGTTAATTTATGGCTAATGTGGCTAGATAGGATCTGGGTTTTAAATAGCTTTCGATTGCATTGCTATAGGCAGAAAACAGCATGTTATTGCTGTTATTATTATGACTATCTGCTAAATGAATATGATTTAAGTTGTCATGACTATCCTAATTTAAGTCATAACTAAGATCAAAGTTTGGATCCATCACACTGGATTTATTAAGTGCCATAAAGGAGTTGCATGTTACAAAGTAGTACATAAGAGGAGGAGAGGGAAGTGTTAGTTTTTGAGGATCTCATATTCTAAAATTTAATAATAATAATAATAATAATCTTTATATTCCTCCCTATCTCTCCTGGGGAACTCAGGGCGAGGACTTAGCTGAGAATCAGTTCCCTAGCAGGAGCATATTTACATCTTGGTTACCCACCTCATTATTTCATGAGTGTTTAGGATCTAAATACTAATGAAGATATTAAGTGATTTACCGATATGCAGATCTATTCATCACGAAAGCTTAACACTTGGTCAACAATCTATTTTCAGGATTTTTATAAAAGTAGAACAGTGACAACCGACAAGGCGTTACTCTATGAACTTATTCCTGGCTCATGCGTTTTCAAAGTCTCACTTCCATTGCCAAGTTTAAGGGGGCTGCAGGAATTGGCCAAAGAACTGAAGAGGAAACTAAACTAGAAGACAAAACGTCAGACAGCTGGGTCAGAGCAGAGACTGGGGTGACATTCATTGGCTTGTGTTGCATTTAGCAGGCTCAACACACGCCCCTTGAGTTAAAATCCACCATAATGATCTGCTTTCTTACAAATGTTTTCTTTTATCCACTACTTACTTTGAATATCTATTTTGGGAAACAGTCTGTTTCTCTCTATTAAGCCAGGCAAACAATCTTTCTTACTGGTGAAACTATTACTGTGATAATAACTATTCACCCAATAT